TAGGCGGGGCGGGGCGGTCATGTTGGTCGGGTCGGTGAAGTTAGGCGGGTCGGTCAGGTCAGTCGGGTCGGTCATGTTAGTCGGGTCGGGTCGGTCATGTTGGTCGGGTCGGTCGGGTCAGTCGGGTCGGGTCAGTCGGGTCAGTCGGGTCGGTCGGGTCAGTCGGGTCGGTCGGGTCAGGTCAGTCGGGTCAGTCGGGTCGGTCGGGTCAGGTCAGTCGGGTCAGTCGGGTCGGTCGGGTCGGTCAGGTCAGTCGGGTCAGTCGGGTCGGGTCGGGTCGGTCGGGTCAGTCGGGTCGGTCTGTCCACCTCCTGGATCACCTGCCAGGCACATTGGTCTCCATGGCAGCACTCCTGGCTCTGCTTGGTGGGGTCATGACCCCAGAATCAGCAGAGGGGGATTAGAGGCGACCCACCGGGTTTCAGGGAGGCTAACCTGAAACCCCTCCTTTCACCCATTTGACCCCAGCAGGTCAAAGGTTAAGTGCGTGCGGCACTATCGGCAGACTTTGATGGTCTCTAGTGGTCGGATGTTTGATGGACCATAAGGTCCACTTCCTGTAGTTTTCTCTTCAAAGGCGATTCTGATTGGACTTTATCGTCTCTTCCTGCTTTTTTCTCTTTCTGTTGATGACTCTGAATAAAAAAGGCTCAACTCCGGTGCTCTCCACTCACCCTCCCTTCCTCATTTCCTCAGTGTAATGCCCAGCACACACTACACCATCTTAGAACTGTCGACTGATTGTCGGCCCATTTCCAAAACCTGAGAGACCACAAACCAGCCGACAGAAACCCTAGGTATAACGGTTCAATCGGGTTCGATCGGGTTCAGCCGTTTGGAGTCCAACTTTATTTCCACTTTGGCTTTATGTTGTTTAGTATTAATTCAAGTACATTTTTTATTAATGGAGACTGAGAATCCATTTTATTTTTGTTTTTGGTTGTTTTGTTTAAGTGTTTGGTGTTCTTTTAAAAATAAAGTGCATCTATCTTTGGCAGGAAATCACATGTATTATTACATCATTTCCATTAGATCTGTGTAAAAAGGTCTTCAAACAATATTATCGTTTATCGCAATAATTTTTGAGACTATTAATAGCTCAGCAAAATTCGTTATTGTGACAGGCCTATTTAGCAGAGTGTAAATATTTTGGGTTTCTTGTTGGAACCAGAACCTTCCATCGGTTCTGCCACGGGTCAGCAACATTCCTGGGTTTTTCCAGCAGCTGGGAGGTTCTGGCGGTTCCGACGGGTTGCTGGGTTCAACGGAACCATCCGTGCTTCTGCCAGTGAATAGCAGCAGATCATCATGACTTTGCAGTTTCAGACATATTTCTGTGGGGTGTGGGGGGCGGTTCCAGACCGGCTCTGCGGTCCAACAGAACCACTGGCTTTATGACTGCAGCAGCAGAATTATGTAACCAGGTCTAGTTCTGGCCAATGGGGCGGGAGGCGGGTCCGGCTCTAATGAGAACCAGGTTCTGAGTGGAAGTGGTAAGTGGGCCGTCTCACACTCACTTCCCCCTCATCAGAACCAGAACCAGAGGAGCAGCCCGGGTTCTGGAGGCCTCTGCCTAACTCAGTGCTGATCGATGTCTGATGATCGTCGGCGTCAGTTTGTCCCGATCCAACATGGCCGTCTGCTCTGATCCTCTCCAGGTTTTCCCAGGATGCAACAGTCCTTCCCTGGCGTCTCTCAGCAGCGAAGTTCCAGTTCTGGCCTGCGGCGGTTTGGCCAAGCGCTGGTTGGTTCCCGGCTGGAGGATGGGCTGGATCCTCATCCACGACCGGAACCGGATCTTCGGATCGGAGGTCTGACCCGCTTTCACCTTCACTTCCTTCTGAGCAATCAGCTTATCAATAAATACCTTCAGCCTGAGCTTCTATTGAGTTGATAAATTGTTTTCAGGTTTAATGTGTTGCTCTAATATTTTTATAACCAATTACCGATTACAAACTGACAATCAGATTAGAAAGGCTGACCGACCCCCACCTGCTGCTGACCCGGCTGTGTGACCTCCTCAGATCCGCCAGGGCCTGGTGAGGCTGAGCCAGCGCATCCTGGGAGCCTGCACCGTCGTCCAGGGGGCGCTAGAGAGCATCCTGAACAACACGCCACCCGGCTTCTACAGCAGCACCATCAGCTGCCTGCAGGTCAGTCTGCAGACGCGATCCTGCTGTTAACAGCATGAACATTAATTCAGATTTTATTGCAGCAGAATAATAATCCATGTTAGGATGCTGATTACCAATATTGATCGCTAATCAACGATCAGCTCTGGGTTCCTACTGATGACGATGAAGGTGGGCTCAGCCTCTGTGTTGATGCCGGTTCAAAGGTTCTGGGACTTGATGACCCCAGAACTAGGGCTGAAATGATTCCTCGAATGATTCGAGTACCTCGATTATTGAAATTCCTTAAGGAAAATTTTCCTGCCTCGAAGCTTCCTTAATTTATGTTTTATCATTTAGCGCGCCGTGTTCCGGCCGGAACATTATTTGCGTTGCGCAGAGCTCTGACTTCCGCCTCTGAGTTGTTGACGAAAGCTAAGTGTTAGCATCATAACGTCCAATCTTCAAGTTCGGCCCGCGGGGATTTTATTGATTAATGATAATTCCGGGTTTTCATCGTTTTCGGGGAACCAATAAACATCCTTAAGATGACCGGAGCGACGCCGGGAGTCCGGCAGCCTTTCTGCTCCGGAGCTGGAAGCGAACGGCGGGAAGAAGCTGAGGAGGATTTCTACAGGTAGAGACTGAACACGGCGGGCGGCTGAGCGTTGATGCGTAGCTTTACTGAAAATACCCGAAAACAAATTTCATATCATCCCGGTCGCAACAAATGGGTGGCGAAGCGCGTCGTGACGTTACATACCTGGGAGATGTTTGTGTGTGTGACGAATGCAGGAGTCAATGAACGAAGGTAAGACCGGGGGAGCAAAACGGGATATTTACGACTCCTCCGTTCGTCCCATTCAGAAACTCAAAAGCTGCTCTTACACGGTCAGCATCAGCCGCCCGCCGTGTTCAGTCTCTACCTGTAGAAATCCTCCTCAGCTTCTTCCCACCCTAACCCTGCGCAACGCAAATAATGTTCCGGCCGGAACACGGCGCGCTAAATAATAAAACATAAATTAACGAAGCTTCGAGGCAGGTATATTTTCCTCAGGGAATTTTAATAATCGAGGTACTCGAATCATTCGAGGAATCATTTCAACCCTACTGGCATGTTCTCAGGTCTTTCCTGTTTTGAAGGCTGGCCAGAAAAACTGATGTTTTGATTTTAAAACCTCAATTTGGTCCAAAAACATCTACATAGTTTCATGCGTGCTGTTGCTGTGATGAAAGATTAAGTTAGTTTGGTCCAATCAGCCTGCAGGGCTCTACTTTAGCGTTGCCTCCACCCAAGATGGGCCAACAGCAGGCAGATGCCTCACTCTGACAGGAATGTGTTAAAGATTGGTCTGTGCTCTTCCTCCAGTCCAACGCAGAGATCTGCTTCAGCGAACTGAGCGCCGTCCCGGGCCTCAACCCCGTCATGCCGTCCGGAGCCATGTACCTGATGGTGAGTAGAGGTCAGCCTGAGGTCATCATCAGTCTGAGGGAAGAAGCACAGACTTAATGAAAATACAGAGATTTACTTCCCTTGTTTGTTCACTTCTGGATTTAACCAGAGTCATTCTGCTGGTCATGAAGCAGAAACTGCAGAAGAATCAGAGTTTGGATCAGAGACCTGACGGCATCAGCGTCATTTTAAGGCCCTTTCGGCAGAGAGAAATGGCAGGAAGTTGAAGCGGCCTCTGCTAACAGAACGCAGTGTGTTGTTGCAGGTTGGGATTGAAATGGACCATTTCCCGGAGTTTCAGAATGATGTGGACTTCACGGAGCGCCTGGTGACAGAGCAGTCCGTCTTCTGCCTGCCCGCCTCGGTGAGACAGTCATTGATAATCGCTAATATCTATAAGTGATGATGAGGACGCCAGGCAGAGCTGCTCTTCTTCTGGCTTCAGGCGTTCGAGTATCCAGACTTCTTCCGTGTCGTTCTGACGGTTCCAGAGGAGCTGATGCTGGAGGCCTGCGGCCGGATCCGCGATTTCTGCCGGGTCTGGTACCGACCGCCCAGCTGCGACGGCAACGACCTGGACCAGTGACCCGGCTGGTCCTCGTCCACATTGAGTCCTCTTTGATGCTGGGAGTTCAGGGACATCACCTAATATTTATATTTTATACAGGCAACAAATATTAAAATATTATCCTCCATTGTTTTTATATATTTATAAACTGAGTCTGGATGTGATCGATTACTGATTTAATGATCTTTTAATGAATTGTTAGTTATCTATCAATGCTAAAATAGGCGCGGCCTGGCTGGTTCTGATCCGATTCTTCAGATCTTCTGGTTCAGCATAAGTTGAACTTGCAACTGTTTCCTGTTCATCATAAAAATGATTTTCATGTTGCTGTTTGTGGTTGTCTAATAAAACTCTGTCATAGCCGCTGCTGAATGGTTTTTATTTCATCTCGACGCGTCTCCGGCCTTCGGGTCACAAGATTCAATATTCAGCAACAGGTTTTATTTATGACAATTTATAAATATATCCACTTCCATGAAGAAACGATGATTAAAATGAGAGCAGCACTGATAAAGTCTCCGTCTGAAACTTAAAATCATGAACGGAAGAACAAACCAGAGAGAGAAGGACACCTAAATGCAAGATTAACAATGAAGTAATATACTGTTCAGGATTATAACTATTATGTAATTGTGTATTCAACAGAAATATCATACTCCAATGTGGAACTGACTGCATGTTTTTTTAATTGTTTATTAACCTTTATATAACCAGGTAGAAACCTGCTGAGACCAAAGTCTCTGTTACCACGGTTACCAGGGTGAAAGGTCGTGGAAAAGATAACAGGCTGTTTACAAAGCCACTTTGGTGAATGTGATCAATAAAACCTCTACCTCCCTCTACTGGCCAACTGAAGACATTACAGCACAAACACATGCATCTGACTGCCCTTCGTGCGCGCGCGCGTTTGTGTGTGCGTTTGTTTGTAATATCTAGAAATGAATGAAAGTCAATGGAAAGTCCCCACAAAGATAGCCACACAAACGTGTGTGTGTGTGTGTCCTGCTGCAAGTTTAAAGCCAATGACCTTTGAACCCTGCCAGTACTCTTCTGTATTTGCTCATAAATAGTTGCTGGAGGAGCAAAACTTTGACCTTTGCCCTATAATGAACTTCCTGCTTGATAAAACCAGAGAGAGAGAGAGAGAGGGGGAACAAACCAGGTCAGAACCAAACAAGAACAGGCCAGAAAAGAAGAGAGGAGGAAGAAGAACCCTGCCGCAGCAACTGAAGCATGGAGCAGCAGCAGGACAGACACATTCAGCTGAATGACGGCAACCGCATGCCACTGCTGGGGCTGGGGACATGGAAGGTACACACACTGATACACACACTTGTGTCTCCAGGTTCTGGTTCTGGGTCTGCTCTGTATCAGAACCAGAACCAAACACAGAGAAGAAGCATTCAGCTTCTATGCACCACAGATCTGGAACAAACTTCCAGAAAACTGAAAAACAGCTGAAATCCTGAGATCCCGTAAACGCAGACAGAAGCTGGTTGAAGCTGATCGATAATCAGACGTGATGATAGTTATCGGCTCCAGCCTCCGTTTCTGTGATGTCAAGAAGGAAACATGTTGAAGTGTCTTCCTGCAGGAAGCGGCCGAGGTGGCAGGAAGTGGCAGCGGCGCCACAAACACCCTCAGCTTTTTTCCCATCAGTCCAGGTGTCTGAAACCTGCAGAAAGCGGCCATGTTTAATCTGCACTGCGATAGTCACTTGCTCCAGCAATGATGTCACTGAGCCGGACTGACGCCTTTGCTTGCCTCAGCCCTTCGAGCAGGCGCCCATCCAGGCCGCCGTGGAGGCCGCCATCGCTGCTGGTTACCGCCATATCGACACCGCCTTCAGCTACAGGAACGAAGTGGAGATCGGCAAAGCGCTACGCTCCAAGATGGAACAGGGTGTCATCCGGCGGGAGGATTTGTTCATCGTCAGCAAGGTGAGAGAGCCGCCGTCGCTGCCGCCATCACTGCCGCTATCACTGCCGCTATCAAACTTCCTCTGCTCTGTCCTCTAGCTGTGGTGCACGCACTTTGACCCTGAGGACATCCCCGTCTGCCTCAACCGCTCCCTGCAGGACCTGCAGCTGGACTACCTGGACCTGTACCTCATCCACTTCCCCATCGGCTTCAAGGTCAGATCAGGAGCCAGAGGTCAGGTCAGAGGTCAGAGCGCTCTTACAGGCCGCTCAGATTCTAGCTGGAAGGTTAGCGCTTTCAGCAGCAGCGTTATCATCTGTTACCATGGTAACTGCATCACCACAGCTAACACAGAGGTCCTGAGATCAACGTGAGCATGTTAGCTTCCTCACAGACAGACTGGCAGCTCTGGAGGAGCTGCAGAGCTTCACAGCTCAGGACCAGCAGCTGCTTTGTTGAAAATGTTTCCTGGTTTTGCAGAAATCGGGAGACGATCTGTTTCCACGGAAGGACGGGAAGATCGTGACGTCAGACACGGACTACGTGGACGTGTGGCGGGTGAGACCTGACGGCCATGTTTATTAAACTCTTACTGAACATTGTCTCTGTGTAACTAGATCAATAAATCAAGTGATTAAGAGTATTGATGTCTCTCTCCTGTCTCTCTCCTGTCTGTCTGCTGACTGTCTCCTGTCCCTCCAGGGACTGGAGGCGCTGCAGGCTGCCGGCAGGGTGAGGAGCATCGGCGTGTCCAACTTCAGCGTCTTGCAGCTGGAGCGCCTGCTGGCCCTCTGCAGGGTTCCTCCTGCTGTCAACCAGGTGCTGCCAGAGCCAGCCCATGTCTCCAGATTTAATCTTTTCCTTCCGCTGTATTTTCCAGCCACGATAAGGGCTGTAATCTGAAACTAACCGGTGCACCTCGGACCCGGTTCTGATCTGGTGTCTTTGGCAGGTGGAGCTCCATCCCTACATGGTCCAGAAGGATCTGATCGAGTTCTGCAGGTCCAGAAACATCGCACTGACGGCCTACAGCCCCTTCGGCTCCCCTGGAAGAACCTCAGAGATGTAAGAGCCGGTTTGTTGGATCTCCTCTGATCTGAACCTGGGGAGCAGCGGCCATCTTTATCTGTTCAGTTTTCTGACTCCTTGTATTTTATTATTTATAAAAAATGTTCCATTCTCAATATTTAGCACATCAAGTCACGAACATCATTTCCAGTACAACTAAACATGCAAACTAGGGTTGCCACCCGTTCCGTAAAATACGGGGCGTTGTTAATTGTAGCGTCCAGTATTTGTTCCGTTCTCTACAAATGTGTACGTATTGTAATAAAGAAATGGTCCCCGAGTACTTTATATAGTAGGCTGCTCCAGTCATTGTTTCACTCACGGTGTTGGTGTTGGGGATATTGTGCCCAACTGCTTTCTGGGTAACACACACTAACCGACACGCTGCCGCCGCTTTACATATATAGGGACTGGTCCCTTATTTTAATTTCTGAAAGGTGGCAACCCTAAAGCAAACATCTCAGCGAGTTGAAATCCTAGGAAATATTTTCTCTACAGTTTAGAAGAGATAAAAAATATGAATTAAAATAAAGGGAAGATGTTGCTTGTGTCGCTGAATCTAAGTGATGCTGCTGCAGCTCTGTGAGCAAATGCCTTCAGCGCAGATTTAAAAATAATCTCTAACAAAAGGGGTCATCTCTTCTCCTTCTGAATCTGCTCTGATCCCAAATAATCTTATATCTGTTCTCTAGCTTGTCTTGTTTAACAGTTAACCCGGTGTTACGTCAATCCGCGTTTCCCCATCAGATGCGGTCCTTGCCGCTCCGCCCCGCCCACGCGGCAAAATACGCGCTTGCTCGTGATGAGCACTGAGAAAGCACGCGCTTGTTCGGCGCGCTTAACTGGGGAACTACGGACACCGTGAAATTAAGAATAATAATAATAAATATATATATATGTTATACGCATTTTAATGCTCAATATTACCCATCAGATACCGTTCCCCCTGTTTTAATGTGAGGGAACGGTATCTGATGGCCATATTTCACCCATCAGGTACCGTTTCGGCTATGTTAAAGGGGGGGAACCATAGACATAATATAAGCATAGACGCTTCATGGACCGCTCCGGCGCAGGAAATACGGCGGCCATCTTGGAGCGG